ATTTAAACAAACTGCAAACTTGAACTGTAGCATTTATGTAAATATTTTATCTTTCAGCTTCTTTGCTGACTTTATGTGTTTGTCTAAAAATAGGTCCGGCATCCATAAATTCATTCATTCATTCAATCGCAATCGCAGTTACCTGCATACATACATACATATGCATTTATGTATATAAAGCCACAAAGCCGTACGTACATCTCCTTTAAAGCACTTCAACAATGTTATAAAACTTTGGATTGCCAGCCATCGTAAATATTTTACACACCTCCAAAGTTGGTTTGCCATATAAGTCTGAATTTTTTGTTGTTGTTGCTTTTTGCAGTGATGATTTAGCATAAAATTTGCAAGATATGTTAATTTACTATGACAAAACTAACAGTACCGGTTTCGGGTTGCATGGGTGTGTGTGTGTGTGTGTGTGTGTTTGACCCTCTTTGGTCTGCAGCAGCCATTAAGAATTGAAAAGAGATTAAAAGAAAAAAATTTAATTTATGTATGTATGCATGCACATAAAATCACAATTAAAATGAAGATTATTATATGTTCCAGTTAACTATGTAGTTTTATTTTTTTCCCATTTAAAAATTTCATGACATTCGGCCTTGTTTAAAATATATATAAAATTTTGTATTGCATTGCGAAAATTCTGACCTATCTTTTTAGACAATTAGCAAAAAGTACATTCAGGTATTTACAGTTAATAAAATCCACTAAAAGCAAAATGGTGAATTGCTCTACACAATAAAGTTTAATTAACAATCTATTCACACCAAATTTCGCATTTGCAAGCACAACAGTAGTTGATGTGCGGGGGTGGTTTGAAAATAACAACTCATGATAATCCGGATAATTTTGTAAAAGCGCCAAAATACGGAATTTCACTCTGTACGTCATTGCGTATATTTTTTCTTCATTTATTTGTTGAACTATCAAAATGTTCTGGTAGGCTTACTGCTGGGCGGGTTTTCGCAGGCGCTCTCCTAAAAGCAAGCTTTCCTGGAAGAAGAGAGTAAAGAGCATGTCGGTAGCCTCAAATTACTGCGAATGAGCCTTTGGCAAGCGATATTGCTCCTCGCCAAAGATGGATTTCTGGCTCTATGAAACTATCATTAAACTAACTTTATTGAACGGTGTCCAAGGAGCTTAATAAGACAAATGCATGCCAAGTTCGATCTTAATTGGAATCAGTGGCATACTTTGGATCAATCCTACTCTGCCGTTTAAGGAAAGGCCGCTGAATGAGCGTTCGTTCGAAAACGCTAATGGAATGCCTGACGACTACTCTCTTAACAGAGATAAGTATGGACGATGAGTTAGCAAGACAGAGGATTGTCGCCGAGTAAGGGAAGGGTAAGAACTCCAATGGTTAAATATGGTCTGCTTCTGAACATATTTATGAGCTTTTAGTCAGTCAGGTGACTAGACCATGTGGCCAGGGGTAGACCGCCGGCAGCAACAGCAAGCTCTTAAAACTGAGCGAACCATGTCTCTCGATACTGGTAGGAGTTATAACTGTCCGATCTGCTGCTATGTGTTGACTGATTGGTTGATTGGTTGGTTACCAAAAAAAGGTAACAACATACGCAGTGTTTAGAAGTTATACAAGAGATGCTCCCCCGTTTCTTCTGCATTTGATGGGTTACAGCTGCGGCTAGAAGGGTTTGATTTCAGCTATCGTTTTGCCGCTTCACTACCCAAGACGCACTGTTCTCTTTGAATCATCTCGCGTATCACATTTATGCACAACCCAGCTTAACAACTTCCCTGTCCTCATACAATGCATTTTGTTAATGCCCCACGTCCAAAAAATATCGCGTACCGTTCACACCAAAAAATTTGTCGGAAATTGTACACAAAAATGAGTCACATGTGACTCATGAACTTATTTCAACACGCTCTCGTGAGTCACATATGACTCATTGGACAGGGAAGTTGTTAAGGTTTAAACTCCCTGGGTCACACCTCTTTCTCACTACCATAGAAAATTCGGAAATTGCGAATACTCGCGTGACTAGCTACATTATGTCAATACCACTTTGCCAAGAAGAATACATTTTCTGTGCAATTTTTGAACCACCCTTTCGAGGGGCTTGTTAACCAGTAACAGTCTCTAAAATAGTCCTAAAGTGTAATAAAGTTCAAAGTGTCAGCGCAAAAGCACCGCACTGCTCTAAATGTGAAGTGGCAAACAAGAAGAGTTAAGTGTAAATGCTCGCTTGTGAGCATTTCGGTTTGAGGCGTGAGCAATTCATCAAATTTATTGCTTTCGAAAATTGGCAGTTGGTAGTTAAACAACAATAAAATCGAACCGTAACAATTTCAGTAATGGTAAAGTTTTGAAATAGTTTTTTTTTTTTTTTTTGGTTTTTTTTTTAATGCTTGTAATCAACACTTGGCACGATGTTCAAAGGGATTTATGTTTATATACATACATACATACACAACGTCTAAGTCAATAATTGTGGCAACGAGTACGTACTGCTTGACGGTCTGTGGCAGCAATAAATGCCAACACCTTCATTCGCTTACATACAAACATACATACATATTTATATGTTCTTACATTTGCTTGCAATTTATAGCCAATTTGGCTTACTATGTTATTTTTGGTAGCACATAAATGCATAATTTTCGTGCATTAAAAAGGCATAAAAACACAAATAATTTGTTGTGGTGCAGAGTGATGTTTGAAATTGTGCAAACATGTGGCCGCCAACTAGCCCTACATAATTTTGGGTTAAAAAGTGCACTAGCCAACTCACTGCTCTAAGGCTATACGTACTTAAGTATGCCTCAAAAAGCGAGTGTGTGTGTGTGTATGTGGCGGCCATTGTCACTGCCACTGCTACATGCTACCTTTTTTGCAATGCGCAATTTATTTAATTTTTTTTTCTTCTACAAAATATATTCTCGATTTTCCACTGTCGAACACACGCTTTGACTGCTGCAACTGTTGTTTACTTAATAATTAAATTGATTTATGTGACTGATTGATGTTTGAGCAGCAGCAGCAGCAGCAGCAGCAGCAATAACGGTATTGTTGCCACTATTGTAATGTGGCATGAATGGCACTTAAGAATGCTCCAACAAGCATTGGCGGTGGCAATCAAGCGCGCTGACATGACGCCCAACCCATTTTTTGCAGTCAACAGCTTATGACGCTTTAGTAAACGAACAAAAAAAAAAACGTTGAAAAAAATTGAAAACAATAAAATCATTAAAATTGCACTTCTCGCGCTTGAGTCTTAAGCAATTGTGAGCGCTAAAGCTTTGTCTTTGATATTTAGGTTGATTTTCACAACTTTGTTATTTACTCGATGGTTAATTGGAAAGGTTAAGGGCAGTCTATTGATTGTAGTGAGCTGAGCTGCTTGGGTTAATGAATGGCCTGTGAGAATGTCAATACATACATATGGACATATGAATGTGCATAGTAGCTGCATAATATCAAAAATTAAAATTATTTAATGGATAAACTCTTAATGTGGGAATCGAGGGTAGCTTTGCTTGTTTGCTTTTTTTTTTCTTGCTAGGCAGACATTAAAAATCATTCAATTATTCTTCTGCTATGACAAAGTTTTCATAAAAAGCCATCTTGCGTTCAGAGGTGGCATACGACTTTAGTTTTCTCTATTTGTGTGACATCATGACGCACTCCTTCACTTGTTAGAGTATCTTGGCTATTTTCTTGCTTTTGAAAGTCTAGCTTAGCTGTTAAACAATAAAAGCGCCCACTTACATAAAGTGGAAATGCAACCTTTTTAGTTTTTATATTCCAATCTTGAGTCTCCAAGTATATTAGATTCAAATAAATGCAGTTTACCGAGACTATGTTAATTCAATTTCCCCTTTACACATCTCTGCATACATAAATATTTATGTATGTTAGGGTGGGTAATTTTTTTTTTGACTATGCGCGTATAGTATAGGAGGATTCTACCTGCATTTATAAGCCAAAATCCATTTGTAGTTTGCCAAATTGCGAAAGTAGGTTTCGAGGAAAATGTGCGAATCTTCACTATTGCGCCAACTGGTGGAAGTTTTAAGAAAAACATAAGTGCTTAAATGGATTTCGCATACCAAAAAACCCCTTATAGCATAGTACAGGGTTGTACAAAATTTAGGCACGTCTTTACGACACCACAGCAAAATGCTAAGAAACCTATTTTCGCAGTTGGGCAAACTCTAAATTGATTAGAGACCCATGGTTTCTTCCGAAAATTTGCTAAGAATTACACGTAGAATACTTCTGTGATATAGGCGTATATTTAGTCGAAAAAATCTCCCATACAAAATGACCCGCCCTAATGTATACACAACCTATATATGTATAACTACATGCACTCGTGGGTGATGTAAGTTGGCAAAATGATTTCAATTAGCAATTTAAAATCAACTTTTGCGCATATAAAATGTTTTTGAGCGTTGAATTGTCAACAGATTTAAATTGGAGCTTTCTATTCGTTTGCCAACAACTTGTGGACACTTACATATGTATACATACATACACCTACATACATACATACATACATAACTACAATGCATTTAGAAATTTTTTTCCTCTGTTCACAACATTTATTGTTATTATTGTTATTATTATTGTTGCAATAATCTTACATGTCTTTGCTTTGTCTGCTCTTCTACTTGTAGCACAAGCATTGCAATCGCACTGACTGCTTTGGTGACAACTGCCACAGCAACAACAGCAACAGCTGCAACATCAACCACTGCAACAATACAGCAACAACACAGCGCTGTAGTCTCGGCTGCCTTAGCGCCACAAACAACAATACCAATCCCCACAGACCAGTGTCCACCATCCATCAACAATATAATTGGCTTGAATAATGAGACGAATAATAAAGCGAATAGCAGCAGCAGCAACAGTGCAGGCACAAGCAACTGCAACAACGACAACAATACGAATACTACTAGTGTTGATGAAATGAACGATTGCAGCAGCCGTGGCAGCAACATGAATGCCACCAGCAACAACATTAACATCGAAATCAGCAAAAGTGGCGGCGACAACAACATGAATGGTGATGGCGATAGTAGCGGCATTGTTGGTGGCGGCAGAGGCAGCGGCAGCTATACTGGCAGTGACAGCAGCGGCAGCACTACAATCATCCTTTCTGGCACGAACAGTAGCAGCGCCAGTGGCAGCAACAGTTGCCACAATAATCACAATAATCAACAGGAGAACAAAAGTGTGGCAACCATGCAATGTGGCTTTCGAATACCCACAGCTTTGCCAGCGGCAACAACTATGCCAACAATGTCTAATGTGACAGCAACAGCAATGGCAGCGGCTGCAGCTGCAGCCGTGGCAGCCACTGATAATTTTATCATCTATCAGCAACAGCAACAACAAATGCATAAACAACATCAGCAACAACAACAACAGTTGCAAGCACAACAGCAACAGCATCAGCAACAGTTGCTACAACAACAGCAACAACATTTTGATGCGGCAATAAAGACATACGAACGTAGCGAGCAGCCGCAGAGTATCGACATGAATTTCGGCGGTAATGGAGGTGGTGGTGGCGCAGGTGGCGTAGGTGGAGGTGCTGGCCTGATTATGACCGCCGGCATTGGCGCTGGCTGTGGTGTTGGTGTCAACGTCGGTGTTGGTACTGGTACTGGCGCTGGTGGTATACTCAGCGTGGGCGGTTGTGCCTCAAGTGCGATTGGTGGTATTCACAGCAACTTGGAGAGCGAATATAGCGCCATGGTCGCATCGGTGTACGAGCATGAAACTGCCTTGTAAGTAGATATTATATAATATTGTTTACTATTAATGTAGTGTTAATTGAAAGGATGTCATTTTTTATGATAGAAACTATTTTATAATATAATTTTGACTGGGTGTTTTGGATTTAAAGATTTATAAAATGTTAGTGGGTGAGCCTAGCCAACTCAGGTCAATTAAGATACCCAAGAAATGCTTCCATAATACTATATTTGCATAACCTCAAACCAAAAATTCTCATATTTTGTCGAGCACAGTCGGCCTATTTAAATGGGACTGGATCGCCTAGGTGTACGTATTAAGGAAAGATCCCCTAGAGTTTTGCATAGCTTTCCTGTAAAGTATAATGCATTGTTATACCAGCTTGGTGGTCATATATCCCAATGTGTATTGATTTTTTAGTTCCCCCTGCATGGCTTCTTGGTGATCGATGGAGCTTTCTATAATCGCGGACGAAAGCAATAAGTACGACACTCTTACAACGTGGCCTTCACCGCTCAATAACTAATATAATGGATTGACTTCATGCTTTATAGCAGAGTTAGTAAAACAAAAACCTTGGACCCTCATAGCTCTAGGCAGCCAGACTTACAGGGCCAACTAACCATTCCGAAACTGAAATCGCATTTAAAAGAAAAAGTCTAGTTTTCTCTGCCAAAATTAGAATATCTCATCCGAAGTGAAGTACGTAGCTATAACTCTTGATTCAAAACTTATTTAGTTAGAAAAACTGTGCACATTTTATTTTTGAGCGTACCAGGGCCGCCTTTAGGGCAGGGCGAGAGGGGCGGTTGTCCTGGGCGCCGAATTTTTTTATTGCATAAAATTTTCGAATGTGAACTTCCTTCATCTATATCGTGCTTACGTCATACAATGCTCGATGAACCAACAATACGGTATTTGTAGATAATTTTCTCAATGCCTAACTTTCGGCTTCTGCTCGGAATAATAACCGGACCATTGGTAATATGGCTACGAACCTACGAACCCTATATACAGACTTCTATAGAAGCTGTAGAGATGAGAAGACATATAGCCGGCTCACGTATTCCAGGATTTAGTCTGATATAGCCCGAAGTCGTTCCCGTGCACAGCACTTCGGATAAATCGCCTCAAATTCGTTGGGGACCAATGCTGTAATAACTTAGATAGTTTACACTGAGCTCCATTAGATGCTCTACCAGGATTCGTAAACAAATCAGTATAGGTTAAGGACATGCAGAAACTGTACTGGACCTGATTAAATGTGTTTTTGTATTGGCTAAGGTACTTTAGCGACTACATACTTATGCATAATATTTTATTTTATTTTCATAGAAATTGTCTAACAGTGAGCCTCAGTATCAGTTTTAAAAGTAAGCCTACTTAGAAGAACTCATTGGTTCTAGTCTAGGCACTAAATAATTCGTTTCAACAGGGATAAAGTTGAAGCTTTCAATAGTCAATTAAGCATCCTGAGAGCTATGTTAGACACGACGTTCACATTACCGCTAGAGTTGAGTGTACGGAAAGTAGAAGAAGAAAGACCCCGAGGAGTTTCTTCACGGATGGGTTGAGGCTGACTAAAGGATAAGTGAAGGTGTTTTTTGCTAAAAGCTTTTTTTTTAATCTCGAATTGTGATCTCCAACAAGCTACGTTTTAAGCTAATAGTATAATGCCTAACTTTCCCTTAGGTTATTATGTCCTTGCCAGACTCATATGGGTACCAGACCTTGGTGATGTTACAGAAAGCTTCGCTGCCGCATAGAGCATTGCTAATACCAGATTAAAACTTTTCACTTCCGAAAAGCTTTTCCTATCCTAAATCTCATTTTTCATATGTATTAAACAAAATCTATTTATCTTCTCTTCTTCAACCCCTAAAGCACTGACGAAGTATTTCTTCCACTCACCTAACGCTTTTTAAAAATTGCCTCAAAATGAATTTGTCGTACAATCTTAATTAATTGTATGAATTTTTACTATTTCTACATAATTCATATATGTACTCCTAAATGGTTTTACACTCTTCTCGTTTTGGTATTACAAATATTTATATGTTCTTTGTGCTAATTTTCCGCCAAACGTCAATCAAAAATTCGTACTGAAATCGGTCAATTTGCCACAACCAACCACACCACCTCACCGCACATAAATAAATGCTATGTGCAATGCGTGCATATCGCAAATTTCATGCCGGTCGAGTTTAGTCTTAAGGCTACGGGCGTATTTAGTTGTATGTACAATATATATATATACACAGCTGTTTACATATTCGTTCATAATTCCTCGTCATTTCACAAATAAATAATTCACATTTACACAAATCCGCGCAAGCACGCAGACGCTTTGTCCGATATGCGATTAAAATCAACAAAGTGTTTCACAGAGCTTACCTTAAAAGTATAACCCACATATGGGAGGAAAAAAACTTCGCTTTGGCGTTTTTTTTGAGACGCTTCTATTTCTGCCGCGCAGTGCAGTGAAGCGAGAAAATCAGGTGGAAAATGAAGGTACGCGCGCGCGCCAAACTTGTAAGCGCGCGCACACACACACACACGCACACGAGCATTTATCACACTCAAATTCGCAAATCCAAAAACAAATATTTTTTTTTTACTTCTATACAACTGCAAATGTACTTACATACTTACATTCCTTAGTATATGTCAGTTTGTATGTTTTGTAGCCAAATTTGTGCATTGCTGCGTGCAATTGTTGTTACCTTCTTTTATGGCTTGAATTACTTGTAGCAACAAATATTGGCGCAATTGGGTTCCCTACAGTAGCTAGCGCTTCAGTTTAGCCTTTTTTTTTTAACTTTGCCTTTTTAGCTTTACTTGCAATTCGTTTGCCATATTTGTATAATTGCCGACAAGCTGGCGAATGTGTAACGCTTTTCATTTGGTTACCTGCATGTCGTCGGTGGTTACTTGAGTACTTTAGTGCTTATAAGTGCATAAGTATATTTGTTTACACTTTTGTATGGTTCACATATGGACTTACAAAGCGAGCATAAGTAGAATGCGCTCGAAGAATTTATATTTGAATTCGTTTGTGTATGAGTTTTCGATTTCGATGCAAATTCTCTTCATGGTTGAGTGAATGGCGCCAAGTGGAAATGTAAGATATTTGAAGGCTGCGTGTTTGGTGAAACTTTAGAAATTTTTTGTTAAACAAATAAATATTTTTGATTAACGTTCAGCTTTTCTGCTTTATATTGTTTGTCTTTTTTTTATGAGGCCAAATTTGCGTTAACCCAGCAGAAAATCTGTAATTGTTTCGTATGTTTACAAGTGAACATTTCTCGACTAGTTCAAGGTTTTTTTCAGGATCATTTCGGGTTTAATTCGCAACTTGTGTAGGACAATTTCGGGACCTTTGCAAGACTGTTTCAGGACCATTCTGGCACTTTTTCGGAATCTTTTCGGGACTATTTTGGATCATTTTGGCACTAGTTCATGACGATTTGGGGACTAGTTAGGACTATTTCAGTACCATTTCGGGATAGTTCACGACTGATTTAGGTCCATTTTGGGCCTGGTTCAGAACTTGTTCGAGATACTGGTAAACCGGTTACTGTACCGGTACAAAGTTTTATATGTGGTTCGAACGACTAAACCGAACCGCACCGTTATTTGGAGTGGTTTGCAGCCCTGTAGCTCGTTTCTGTAAAAATTGTCTACAAAGGGAATTGAGATATGAATTCGTCGCCCTGTTCTCTACTGCTAATAAGTAGTTGAGAATGACGTATATTCTCTCTACCAGTAGAGAAATAATCGGTAGAGAAGAGTTACAAAAACGAGCTACTCTTTTGAAGTATACTAAACAAAAATATATATATTTAAAGTATTCTATTTCCATGTAGTACATGTAGTACTCGTTACATTTCGTCCAATATTCGCTAATTTTATTTTTTTTATTTTTTATTCTCTCATTACAGCAGTGATCGTGCCTACGTAGCCTCGGACCTGACATGCATGTACGTTAGCGATGAGGAGGATAAAAATTAGTTTCCGGTGAGGCATTTCAACTAAAGCTGACGACGAAACACTTCCACTAACACAAACACACAAAACATACATAAATGTATGAGAATTATCATAAAGAATTATAGAAATCATTGTGCAAAAATTCTGGTATGTAAATCATAAGGAATGTAAAAATTAGGGCAAGTTTTTCTATAAACGGCCTTTACACAGTAAAGAATGTGATTTTGAAAAGGGAAACTTTTTATATGTATGTTTGTGTTATTGCACGAGAAAAATAAAAACATGCAAACGAAAAAAAAAAAATGTAGTGAAAATCGAGCCCTAAAGTGCCGGCTTAGATATACAAATATACAAACATACATACAGACATACATATGTATATGCTTATATAAATTTAAATATATTTCCTTTCTACATTTTATTTATGTAAGACAAAACTATCTACTTGTTTATTTTATTTAAGTGTAAAATTAGTTAATAACACTAACATTCTTACAAACACATACTTATATACATATGTAGTTTTCTATGCAAAAGCTTTGAAAATTGGCTTGGCTAGTCGAAGAGCAAATAAGACGAAATTCAGGCGGAAAAATTCGTATTTTACACGAAAGCATGTACCCTTTCAACTAACTTACTTTTCATATGAACTCACACAAAAAAAAAAATAATTGGATTTTTTTCCAAAAAGTTTAGCTTTGAAGGCTAAATATTTCCACTTTTTTAATCTTGGATTTTTCAAATAAAATAAAGTTTTAATACACTATTTTAGTGCATAAATTTTCTAGAAATTTAATTAAGGTAATGTTTTAAATATTCAGAAAAAGTTAAAAATGTTAATCAAGTTCTAAAAAGTTGTAAGACTTAAGTTTGTGGAATACAGCAAACATATTTCAGAAGAAAAAATTATCAAAAATTAAATTTTTTCAAATTTTTTTTTAATTTTAATTTTTAAATTTTATTTTACTAAAAATTTTTTTTTTCATTTTTGATTTCCTTGTTGTTTAAAGCTTTTTTGTGTTTCTCAAGGGCGGCTCTCGTCTAGAAAAGCAAGAAAAGTAAAAACTAAATTTATCAGCAAATAAGTTAAATAAAATTTATTAGGTAAACGAAAAGTATCTATGCTTAAAAAAAAACCAATTTCCTAAAAAGTTAATTTTAGAAACTCAAATTTTTTGTATAACAGAAGAAATTGGTTTAAATACTTTATGAAATAAAAAATCATTGAATTTTCAATGAAAATTTATAAAAAAAAATTAAAACATTTAATTTTTTCAATAAACAACGTATTTAATTAAATTAATTTTAAACACCTTCAAACATTTTTTTAAATTTTGATTAAAAATGAAGGCGTTTCAAAGCTTTGTCTATGATATTTTGTACCACATAAGTTTCTCTCAAAATTGTATCCAAAAAAAAAAAATAAGTAGAAATATTTTTGGATAAATATTTAAGCTTT